TTTTAAATTTTCTAAGTATCAAAGATTTATTTTTGAAATCACAATATACTTTTAAGATAGCTTAAGGTTTAAACCCTTCAGTCTTTTTGATGAGATGTCAAAGAATACATACAGGGAACTTCAGGAATAGTAAGGTTCTTGGATAATGCTATTAGAGCAGATTGCCACCAACATCCCATTGTAAGAAAAAACACCGAAAAGTCATTCCACAAGAGTGTATTCTAAGGAACATTAACTGGTGTTCAACAAAACTGTTCTGTGGTCAAACACATTTAGAAAATCCTAGATTCAACCAAGCTGGGAAATGCTGACCTAAAGCAGATGTTTAACCTTAGCTGCACAAATCATCTGAGGAACTTAAAAGCTATGCCCAGGCCTCTCCCCAGATTTAAGAAATTAAAATATCTGTGGGGGTAGAAGTTGGGAACCTGACTTTTAAAGAAGTTCCACAGGCCCGGCTGGTGTGGCTAGTGAACTGGGACTGAAAGGTCCAGGTTCCACTTGTGGATGGGGAACATGCCCATTTAAATTATAGCTTCTTCGGAGAATAAATCACAAAGCATTTATCCCCCTGTGTCACTCATATCTTCACTTATAAAAAGAGACATGATCCCAATTTCCCTTAACTATTATCATTTCTCATCTTGCACAAACGTATCGTGTAAATCAATACACAGTATATACACAATTATGGATCTAAAATGTAAGTACCTTAACAAAGCGACAAAGTCTTACAGCATCTTCCCATTTTGAACTGCTTACATATTCATGGAGAATAGCAGGATACGGTGATATGCTGATGTGAACCAGTGAGCCATCAGCTCTTCTTATAGTTACCTGATTTCCAACAAAACTCACAATATGGGGATTTTTACTAAATTCACTGTAGGGGGAAAAAAAGGCAAAGTGCAATTTATATTCTGAGTAAATTTTTCATATATATTCAATTTGGGGAGTTGACCCCTGACATATTAATGAAGTATCCAACTTCCAAAATGCACCTCCAAAAAAGTTAATTCCATGGAGAATGAATATATTCAAATAAATATTTGAATCTAACTTTTTATATACAGTTAGAGAAAAAACATATTATTTCGTGTGGCAAAACTATTACATATGTGAGAGCTATTCCTAAAAGCACTTCAAATGACATTTTTCCCCTCAGTCCTAAGGTAAATCACACAAATGATTAAATCACTTAGCTTGAGCTTTTAAAATATTAAAGTGTAAACCATTAAAAATCAAGCTGATTTCAAGATTATTTCCTCACCATAAAAAGAGGTGAACTTTAAGAGACTAACATCTCTTCATTAGTTTAAAAACTTTTTAAATGATGCCTGTCTGGTTTTGCCATAAATATTAAAGGTAAACTCAAAATAAATTTACAAGTTAAGCTAAGGTTTAGAGTTGAAAAGCCTTTGTATTCCTATTCTGTCAAGAGTAAGAGATCCCCTTACTATTTCTTAGAGAATTTAGAATTATAAATGTATTTGATTTTCTGAAGCATATAACATTTTAAAAACTTTACAGTAATTTTATATTTTTTAATCTTTAATATTAATTTCAAAATTTAATTCTAGATTGAATTCCATTTTAGAACACATACATTCCTGAAAGTCTTAAAGTCAGTGATAATCCAGGACAGAGTACAGGTTGTCACAAGGTTGTATATCACTAAAAAATCTTAAGAGTGTCTATATTAAAATCACTACACCAGCCTGGACAGTGTGGCTCAGTGGGTTGAGCGTTGTCCCATGGACTAAGAGGTCTCCGTTAGATTCCCAGTCAGGGCACATGCCCTGGTTGTGGGCTTGATCCCCAGTAGGGAGTGTGCAGGAGGCAGCCTTTCTCTCACATCAATGTTTCTATCTCTCCCTAAAAAAATAAATAAAAACATATTTTTTTAAAAATCACTAAACCACATAGAAAAAAAAACTACCTGAGATACCATTAAACAACATTACGCTTGAAAATTATATTCATTTAAGAAACGAGCAAATAAACCTAATAGTATTATACAACACTTTCAACTTGGTTCCATCACTTAAGTCTCACTGAGCTAGCCTTAGCTGAACAAATTATTTTATTGAGTACAGTGAAAGATATTTGCAGCATTAAAATTAGAGGCAAAGACATGACTCTGTTAGTTCTATTTACCATAATAAATAATTCTATGCAGTAAAATGTTACCTGGCATCCCTTTCATATAATGTTTTAGGCAAAATGTCTCTGTCCACATAAACTGTATTGGGGTAATACCACACTGTAAATCGGGTATCTTGAAGTCCACAAAGGATATTGCATGTATCACTCCACGCCAAAGTATGCACCATTGTTCCTTATTTTAAAAAGAATGTTAATGTACTATTAGTTCTACCATATAATAAGTGTTAAAAATATATCTTTAAAATCAGCTAACATACAAGATCCCATCTAATTTCTGGTAGGTGGGACTCTATTTTCTGATTGTACAATGGTAAAAACCTATACAAAAATTCACATTAGAATTGATGGAAATATTTGAATATCCTATCCAGAACCATTATATTTTAATTTGCAAGTCCTTCTTCAATGCCAACTGTGGCAGTTAAAGACTTGCTATTAAAATGGAGTTAAGTAGCTAATAAATGTTATGAGATCAAAGCATTCATAGATTTATTCAAGCAAGTAAGCTATTTATTATAATATATGACAGATAGTTGATCTAAGAAAATTGAAATTAAAATTCTAAATGTATTATAATTATTTTACCGAGTTTGATAATTTGTTCTTCTTTCCCAAATCGTTTCACTGAGGTGATATAGAGATCTCTATTTTTATCAATAAAAGCAATTTTCCTATCATTGGTAAGTCCTTTCTGATCCAGAGCAATTTCCAAAATTTCACTCTAAAATTAAAGAAAAAAATACTGGATTAGTTTTAGTGCTTAACCATCAGATCACTTTAATTATTTAACAAACATTTGTTTACTTAAAGATCAATTAAATATCACTCTCCTATTTATAGTGATAAACTGTCCCTGTTAAATAATATTAAACTGCTAATACTTCAAAAGCTATGGTAACATGTACTTTTTTTTGGCCAGGGAAAGATGCTCCTTAAAACACTAAAATAATGTATATATTGAACCTCTGTAAGCTGAAAAATACTTCTATCTTAGCAGTCAGGGAAAAAAGTTGAGTCAAGTCTGGGTATTACATGAGAGGTCTACTTTGATCAGCTCCTCACACCAAAATTTACTCTAAGTAAATTGCCTGTATTTTAAAGATTTGTAAGAGTTGGTTTTTAGAGCCTTAAATTTTATAGATTTTTTTTTATATTCATTTCGTGTGAAAAAGGAAACAATCTTCTGATGTAGGTACTATTATACTTATATTGCAGATGAGAAGACTGAAATCTGTGGCCATTAAGTGATTTTGCTCAGAAAAAGCTGGTTACAGCATATCTAGAATTTCCAACCCAGACTTCTGACTGCACAATCAGTGATCTGTCGACAATAGCAAAGTATTTCTGGAACATTGCATTAATCTATTACATTATTATACTAACTAGTGAAATGAATTTCTTCATAATTTGAAAATGATTCCTTATGGGTTTGTTTCAATTCAATTCAAGAGGTATTTGCTGCTTACAACGTCTAAAGACTTGCTAGGATCTGTGAACAGCAAGAATCATTATCACACCAAGTAATTGTGTCTACGTATCCTATCATGACATCTTTAAAAAACAAAACTAAACACACATTTAACCCTTATCCAAGTTGATGGACCAGGATAAGCCATATACCAGTTCATAACACATTTTTTAAAATCTCCTCTTTGGAAATACCACCAATTATATCTTAAGGAAGAAAAGAATTTTGTACCATGTATGTTAAGGTATGCATGAAATATTTTCAAAATGGAAACGGTTCATAGAAACTGATCTTTACAATAAAGAATGACTTGTTGCCCTGGCCGGTTTGGCTCAGCAGTTGGAGTGTCCAGAGAGTCCAAAGTTCAGTTCCCGCTAGGGCATGTACCTCAGTGGCAGATTGTCCCCGCCCCGGTTGGGGTCATGTGGGTGGCAACCAATGTGTCTTTCTCACATTGATGTTCCTCCCCGCCCCCCATCCCTCCCACTCTATCTGAAGATACATGCAAAAATGTCCTCGGGTGAGGATTAAAAAAAAAGAATTACTTGTCATCCCCATCAAGTACCTAGTATACGGAGTGGGGCAAAAGTATTTATGGTTGTAAATATGTGAAATACAATTTATTCGTGTACAGCTGTCCCTCGCCACTTCGAGTCAACTTCCATGGCTTCACTGTATCGTGGTTTTTTCAAATACCCTACTAGAGTGCAGCCGCAAAAGTCCAAGCGCGAAGTGGCGAGGGATGGCTGTGCCTAAATAAAGTATCCTACTTCGCAGAAATTCATTTATCACGTAGAGTCTGGAACTGATTAACTGCAATAAATGAGGGCCAACTGTATTATTATTTATTAATTATTGTATTATTTTCCATATGAGCAACTGTAAACCTACTTGTGCCTCACCCTGTATTTTTTAAACATTGTTGAACAGATATGATTCTCCTCTCTAAGAAATTCAAAATCAAAGACTGACAATAGTAATGCCTTTGTACATAGTGGGATGAGCAGTGTTTCCTCCTCTTCCTCCTCCTCCTCTCTTCATTCAGCAGGGCATCCCCGTTTCCCTCTTGCCCTGTCCTACTATGTCCACTTTTGTTCCGTTCCTCCTGAGTCACTCTTTGCAGCAGGACAAGAAAGCAGCTTCTTGTTCCCTTGAACCTTCTGTCTTGCCCTATGCTAATATTCATTTAATAAGACAGACTTGAGTTCTCATTTTGGCTCTGTTATTTATTTGGGTAGATCTTGAGTTTTAGTTTCTTCATATACTATGAAATAAAAACATTGAGTGACTTTTCCCATAGAATGCCAAATTTTAAAATTCCTTTGTATTATATACAAGACAGAAAGATTAAAAAAAAATTTCCTGTATACTCTGGTTTCTCTTCAGATCGAATAAATCTTTTGCCTTTTACTAAAGATTTCCATGGAGAGGAACAGTTATGAGTTTATATTCAATTTTTTGAGGTCTCTTTTATACGAGGCTAAAAAAAAATTAATTAATTAAAAAAAAATGTCCCGTGCAACTGAGTGAAGTGTGAGATAAAGTCACCTCCATTCTTACAATAATAAAATTATAACTTTCTTACACTTAGGAAAAGTATTCTAGAAAAATAATTATCACACTAAAAGAAATATTTATTAAACCTTACTAAATGATTCTCTTTTCAACCTAATAAAAATAATAAGTGTATCTTGAAAAGCTGAGAAATTTACTCCCTTTTTATATGCTTAATCTTACTGAAAAGGAAATATTCTGCTTACATAGTCTTAATTTTAAATGATTATAATGAAGAGGTTGTGGGGAGACAGGCCTCTTATTTATTACTAGTGAGAACATAAATTGATACAATCTCTTTGCAAGATAATTTGACAATACCTATTAAAATTACAAATGCTCATATCCTTTGACCCTCCCCCATCATTTGAAGAATGTATCCCACAGATACACTAATACTTGTACAAGAAGATATTCTCAAGGTAAGTCATCTTGGCAATACTGGAACAGCAAAAGACTGAAAACAAATGTCCATCACGTGAGTACAGGTTAAAGAAATTTGAATACATCCATAAAATGTTATATGTATAGTGGGATGAGAAGAAGGTTTGGGGAAAGTACTTTATGTGATGATATGGAAAGTTCTCCAGAAATTGTGTTGTATTAGAAAAGCAAGGTGCAAAGTTGTATTTTACAGTTTTATATAAGAGGGAAAAAAGGACATATCAGTTTTGTTTGTATATGTACTAAAAATCTCAGGAAGGACATGTAGGAGATTAATAGAGTGGTTATTTATTTGGTAGAAAGAAACTATTGATGAGGAACGGGTGTACTAGGAAGACATTTTCACTATGCTTTTTTATGATTTGATTTCTGAACCATATGAATGTGTTATTCAAATTTAAAACAAATAATTACAAAAGGAAGAAAATATATGAAGTAACACCTCACTAGCAGCATTGAACAATATAGTTAAAAGCATCTTTAGACCTTAATATATCACTTATTAGAAAGATAACTCAATAAAATGTGCTCCTTTGTCTTAAGGCTAAAAATCAGAAACCAATAAACAATTCACAATTCATTGTCTTTCTGTACTTCTATATAGATGTTTTCAGTTTAACTACAGTCTTAAAACCTAAAGAAAATGTTGGCTAAGGGCAGGTCAATAGGAAAGCAGCAAGGTATTTTGAAATATACACATTTTAATTTACTGATAGGTATTAACAGTTTAATAAAAAAATAACATTTTATTGAAAAGCAAAAAAGAGCCTGGACAGTAGACATATAAGTCAGATACTTTTTATGCAATTTCTATATATAGCTATGTATTCCTCCTTAAAATGAAAACATTAATTTTAAAAAGGAAGTAAACAGTAGCTATTTACATTAGAAATAGCTAATGCCCATTACCTCATGACAAAGAAGCTTGCCATCACCTAATGGTTTACCAGTTGATGCCTCAAAGAGAAAGATTACTTGAAAAAAAACAAAAACAAAAGAACATTAGTTAATGTATTATATTAGAATTTTTATTGGTAAACTACAATAGAATCATCATAGTCCTCATGAGAAATTATTTAACTCGGTGGCCCACACAGTATCTATCAGCACAAAACAGCAGTGGTATCAAATTCCTATTTATTAATGAGATCATATTTCGTATGAAAACACTGGAACTGGATACTTCTTCCTAAAACACATTCCCTAATTAGAATTGTGTAATGGTATGGCTTTAATGCTGCATAGGATCAACAATGGCAAGTCTAAATCTGGATGTAATCACTAATTTTGAAAACTGATATAGACCAGTATACCATCACAATCATTATTTCACAAAGGGAAAATGTGTCAAGTGCCTATTGTAATACCAGGCAATGTGTCATGTACTGTTCAGTTCCTTGTGGTCAGTACACTACTATGGTCTAATTCATCTGGTGTTTGTCCTGGACTCCTGACAGAGAACATGGACCCTTGGGATCTTTGTTTGCTAAGAGGGGTACTCTTTGTGGGACAGATATTGCCTTTGTGCCCGTCTCTGATTCACCCAAGGTTTCAAACATAATAGTCGTATTGGTAGCTGTTCTTTTCTCTTGTAAAAAGACTGTTGGAGCCCTGGCCGGTTTGGATCAGCGGTTGGAGCACTGGCCTGCGGTCTGGAGAGACGCGGGTTCGGTTCCCGCTAGGGGCGCGTACCTCGGTTGCAGTTTGTCCCCAGCCCTGGTTGGATCGTGTGGGTGGCAACCACTCTATGTGTCCCTTTCACGTCGATGTTTCTCTCTCTCTCTCTCCCTCCTACTCTATCTGAACAAAATGTCAAAAACTGTCCTCGGGTGAGGATAAAAAAAAAAAAAAAAAAGACTGTTGGAGTGTTTTTGTGATTTTCTTTAAATAATTCCAGAATTACTTCGGCCAAAGATTCATCCCAAATGGAGTAATTTTATATAACTGAATATACACATAGGATTCCAGAAATGAAAAGACAAAAATGGCAACAAAAAAAATTGGACAGTTTATAAAGATCATAAAAATGCTAAAATATGTATAATGTGACAGTTAAATTTCAGAGGATCACACTTTTAGTATATTGCTTATTAGCTTTTAGTAAACCTTAGGATATTAAGTTTGAGGTCACTGGTTATATTCACAGAGGAAATCACATCGTAACAATAAGTCATGTTCTAAGACTGCCAATTATGCTAAGAAAGATGAAAAAGAAAAATATGTAACAGAATTTTTAATTAAGTATAGAAGTAGAGTTAGAAAATTTTGGCTTCCATTTTAAAAAATGCTTTGAGCTTAGCTAAACCCAGTTATTTTCATAGCCATACAAACTATTTTTTTAAACCTTCTATCTTTATGCTGACTGCTCATTTATAAAGAGCTGGAGGTATAAGGATGAACTCATCTATTTTTCCACAGCTGTAAGTGGCCCTGATCTGTGGGAAGTTGGACCCGTGTTTTAGTGATGATAACATGTAACAGAAACTGGCAGAATGGCAGAAAGAACAGCCAAGGAGCTGGGAGCTCAAAGAGGTGCTTCTAAACATAAGTAATTGCTCTCCTAACTTCCATGCCCCTCAGACCCAGACATTTGTTTCAAATTATCACCCACACTAATATCACACTGTATTGTGCAAGGTGGCTGGGGGAGAAGAAGGAAGTCAAAAGCCGTACCTCTCTACTAAATCCATCACCCAAAGGTGTATGTTCAAATCCATTTACCATGTATTTACTAAGCACCTATCATAACATAGAGTACTGTGCTTGGTTCAAGAATCCTGCCTATAAAGGAGCACCCAAATGAGGAAGGGTTGAACCACTGATTTTACTTGTGAATGGCCCCCTTGAAATGAAATTTTTAAAATTCCAGGTAGACTTAGGTACTTCAATTGTGTTTTCTATTATTAGCATATACCTCTATTTAGCCATTAATGAGTATTAGTTTCTTTAAAAGGGAACATAAGGGAAATATTTTCCTTCTCATTTTATATAAATTCTACAATAATTTTAGTCTTTTTGATTTTCTATTTACAGCAAAATGAAATCACATGATCATCTTATTCAACAATCAAAAGTTATGTAAATAAAACAATTTACTGGCATATAAGTCCATATTTCTGAAAAAGTTCATAATTCTAAATGAAAAGTTCTATGAATTATTAAAAGATTAAAGAATAATGAAATAGCCCTGGCCAGTGTGGCTCATTTGGTTGGATCCTCATCCCATATACCAAAAGGTTATGGGTTCAATCTCCAGTAGGGGCATGTGTGGGAGGCAACTGATAGATGTTTCTCTCTCTCTCTCTTTCTCAAATCAATAAAAAAAATCCTTGGGTTAGGATTAAAATAATAACAATAATAATAATAATAATGAAATATATTTCAGATATAAATTAGCTATAGAAAATTCAGAATAAGGTATATTCAGATGGAAACACATATTTATGAAAGCTTCTACCTAAAGTATGTGTTAGTAAGAAAAATAAAAACAATTCATAGTGATGACTGAGATTTTCAAATTTAAGTTTATTGAAGACCAAAATCTGACTTCCTAATTATTAACAGTTACACAACCATCTTAAATTTGACAATCATCTTAAATTTGTCTGCTATCTAAAGACTATTTTATTTAGTTCTCTTTTCTTCATTTTTAGCTAGAAAAGAAGTCCTTAAAAACAAAACAATTACCAAATGTCTTCTTTCAGAGAAAATCTAAGGCATGAAGAAATAAAAGATCTTTATGTGGGAGAATTATATTTCCTTCCTGTATGAGAGATGATGCTATTTCAAAGTATTGAAAATTTTAAAATGAGATGATTCTCTTGCTCCTGAATTAAGTCCTCCATGGTGTGAAGTAATAAAATTCAGGTCAGATTTTTTTAGTAACACATCACAGTAATGAACAATGTTTAGCAATATGTATTAAAAACAGAAAAATAATTTAATATTTTCTACTAGGCTTTAGGGATAACTCACTGTCACTCTTAACCTGAGTGGCTCTCCTCTTCCTCTTACCATCTCTAAATATTGATATGCTCAATCCTTGGTCTTCTTATTTCTCTATACTTATTTCCTAGGTGATTTCATTCAGTGCCATGACACCATCAGTACATCAGTGGCTCCCAAATTTATGTCTCTCATCCCCACTTCGCTCCTAAGCCCTAGACTTCTTTATCCTGTTGTTTACTCTCCATCCATGCGTAGATGTCTAAGAAGCATTTAAACTTACCATACCAAAATAGAACTCTTGTTTGTGGACATCCTCTAAACTTCCTCCTTCCCTGTTTGCCATCTCATTCATCCAAGATGAAAACCTAAGACAATATGCTTGCCTCCTCTCGTTCCCTCATGCCCACAATTTACTATGGTCAAGTCTTGACATGATCTGGCTCCTGCTTAACTATCTATGTCCTCCTCCTACAACTCTGCTTGACTCATGTAGACCTAGTCACATGGCCTTCTGGCAGTTCCTTTTACATGTCAAT